ACACAGACACAGAGACACACATACACAGACACAGACACAGAGACACACATACACAGACACAGACACAGAGACACACATACATACACAGACACAGACACACACACACACATACACGATGGCCATTTCGGACTAGTTTACAAATACATGTATAAGGCAATAAGAAAGGGCCCCTCCCTTGTATGCTGCTGGCCTGTGCCATTGCAGACTCACTAAACCATCAAAAGCACTGCTTAATAAGCATGGTCCATACATCTGCTGTCTTTCCCCTTATCTGTTAGTTTGGTTCACCATCTACAGTTGATTATCCAGAATACAGAGCCGGTCATCTTTGCTGTCTCCTCCGTCTGTGCTGTATTGACTTTCAAGGTTTTCCTGCCTGCTTCTCCCATTTGTTTGGGCATAGCTTTCCTTTGAGGCCTTTATTGTTTATTTATCTCTCTATTTATTTGGTTTTTCGAGACAGGGTTTCTCTCTGTAGTTTTGGTGCTTGTCCTGGCCTCGAACTCACAGAGATCCTCCTGGCTCTGCCTCCCGAGTGCTGGGATTAAAGGTGTGCGCCACCGCCGCCCTGCTGAAGCCATTATTGTTTTACTGGGAGAATTTCAGTAATCAATTTACTATCAAGGTGTGTGTGTGTGTGTGTTTAAATACACTATATACCCAAGGTAGTTTTAAAACGTCACTAGCAGAGGAGTCAAGATGTTAAATAACCAGTTCTCCTTAGTATATTTTACGCACACACACAAATGTTTGTGGTATATTCCACTGAAAATAAGAAATAGGCTGGATACGGTGACACATGCCTTTAGTTCCAGCACCTGGGAGGCAGAGGCAGAGGCAGGCAGATGGTTGAGTTCAAGGCAAACCTGGTCTGCCCATAGTGAGACCCTGTCTCAAAAAACAAGACAACAGCAACCAAAATACTTTTTCTTTTCTTTTCTTTTCTTTCTTTTTTTTTTTTTTTGGAGCTGAGGATGGAACCCAGGGCCTTGTATTTACTAGGCAAGTGTTCTACCACTGAGCTAAATCCCCAACCCTCAACCGAAATACTTTTTTTTTTTTTTTTGGTTTTTGGAGACAGGGTTTCTCTGTAGCTTTGGAGCCTGTCCTAGACTAGCTCTGTAGACCAGGCTGTCCTCGAACACACAGAGATCCACCTGCCTCTGCCTCCTGAGTGCTGGGATTACAGGCGTGAGCCACCACTGCCTGGCCTGAAATACTTTTTAAGAAGGTGATGAAATAGCAAAAATATATAGGCCCAGAAGTTATACATGAGGCTTCAGTTTATTAGCAACTAATATGAGATATTCAAGAGGGTGACTGAATTGCCCACTGACTCTTTTCCTTTGAGACAGGGCCTCATCTCAGCTGGAGTGAAGAATATCTTTGTGGGGAGGTTTCTTTGGCTTACAGGTGAGAGTCCATTATCAGAAGCCAAGGTCGGGACTCAGGGCAGAAACCTGGAGGCAGGAAAGGAAGCAGAAACCACTGAGGAACACTGCTTACTGGCTTGCTCTTCACGGACTGCTCAGCCTTTCTTTGATCTTTTTTTAAATTTTTGCAGCAGGGTTTCTCTGTGTCCTGGAACTCAATCTATAGACCAGGCTAGCCCGGAGCTCAGATTCACCTGCCTCTGCCTATCTAGTGTGGGCATTAAAGGTGTGCACCACCATCACGGCTGGTCAGCCTGCTTCCTCCCAGGACCACAGGCCACAATCAGCTGGCCCCTTCACTGAGGATGCTCTAAACTTCTTTTTTAAATAATTTATTTTTTATTTATTTGCTTTGGTCTTTTGCCTGCATAAATATGTCTGTGAGGGTATCAGATGGATGGCCTGGAACTGAAATTACAGATAGTTGTGAGCTGTCACATGGGTGCTGGGAATTGAACCCTGGTCCTCTGGAAGAGCAGCCAGTGCTCTTAACTGCTGAGCCATCTCTCCAGCACCAATCTCTCCTGCCTTTACTTCTGAAATGTTTAATGTATTATACCTGGCTGAACTGGACTTCTATTTATTATATTAGATGGCCCATAGTCTCTTGTTAGCATTATTTAATTTGAGGGATTGAATACATATGGCTGTGTGCATGTTGAATGTGTATTCGTCCAACGATTCAAGACCCCAGTCCCCTCTATTTGATGCCCAAATTATCTCAAAATTAGCACAGTCCTACCTCCAGCCGTTGTATTTTTTGGCACACTATTCTGCTGACACTGTGTATGCGATCTTTACTGCTTCCGATCCCAAGCCAGCCGTTTATCAAAGGGGAGTTGGTTTTAGTGGCGAACTGCAGCTAGGAACCACTACCTTGACGATAAAAATATTATTGCAATGTTAGAAAGTTGTTACGGGGGCCAAGCAGACAGATCAGTGGTAAAGGTGCTTGCCTTCCCGTCTGACTTCTATTCTTGAGACCTATACGATACAGGGAGAGGACCAAGATCTTCTGACCTCCACATTTGTGCCATGATGTGTAGGCCAGCCCACCAGGAAATGGTTTTTTTTTTTTTTTTTTGGTATTGTTTTGTTTTGTCATATGGTTTCTCTGTATAGTCCTGGCTGTACTGGAACTAACCCTATAGACCAGGCTGGCCTTGAACTCAGAGATCCGCCTGCCTCTGCCTCCCAAGTGCTGGGATTAAAGACCTGTGCCCCCACTGCCTGGCTCCAGTAATAAATGTAATACATTTCAAGAAGTTGTTACTTGTTTTGAGAGAAGGGCAGATCTCAAATTTACAATGTAGCTAAGGCTGGCCTTTAATTAATTGCTGATCTTCCTGCCTCGACTTTCCAACTTCCTATGGGGTAAGGTCATGCCCCCTTTGCTTTGTTTTATGACACAATGTATCTCTATGCTGCATAGGTTGGCCTGATCCCCTTAGCTCAAGATTTGGCCCATTGTGGTGGGCATGCCTTTTAATACAGAGGTAAACCCTATATTGGAAAATCAAGAAAAAACAAAAAGGGGAGAGAGAGGGAGGGAGGGAGGGAGGGAGAGAGAGAGAGAGAGAGAGAGAGAGAGAGAGAGAGTCTTTGCTTCAGTTCCTGTCTTGATGCCCTGACTCCCTTTTATGATGATGATGGGTGGGAATTGGAATATGCAAGCCCAAACCCTTTATCCTCCCATAGTTGGTTTTGGTCAGCATTTGGCCAGTCTAGCCAAATGGGTGAGCTCCACTGAGACGCTGCTTCCAAAGACAAGGTAGATGGTTGCTGAGGAACAGCTTCGGTTCACGTGACCTCTGGCCTCCACACATGCTCGCATTCACACAGAGTAACTAACCCAGGAGCAACCAGGACTCACCAGTTCTTCCTGTCTGTGCAGAAGAATTTCTCTTTTTTTCCTGCCGGGGCATTGTAAATAACCTGGTTTGTTCCCATGCGAAACATAACTCTCTTCTTGGTTTCCGTTGACATAACCATGATGCAGCCATTTTCTTGTCCCTGTGTACTAAGAGGCTTTTGGTATCTCTGTTTTTAGATATTTACACTCTACAGCTTGTTTTCCTATAC